GTGCAGCAGCAGCACCACCACCAGCATCTCGAAACTACATGTCAATGCTGATCCTAGACTAGCAAACAATCCCAGACACAATACCAACTACCATCATATATATACCGTAAAGTCGCGGATAAAAGCCGGGTTTGCATACAAGCACATCGCGGATAGAAGCCTGAAAATCAAACGGGTCAAATGCATATAAGCCTGTCGCGCGTAGAAGCCTGGCTTCTATGCAAGCGCGGATCGGGTAGGTCAAGAGTGCATGTGCTATGTACAGTGCATAGTAAAACTGCCGCCATACCGGTAGTCAGTGGTAGATCTACGCGTGTCGCGCGTAGAAGCCTGGCTTCTATGCAAGCCCGGATCGGCCGATGTGCATACAAGCCTGGCAAAAATATCAGTGGTGCATATAAGCATGGTTTGCATACAAGCCTGGTTTGCATTGAAGCCTGATGCAGAAAGCGGCGTATGTGCTTATAAGCCCGGCTTTTATCCGCGACTTTACGGTAGTACATCACACACTACATGGGGAATTCCACAGAGCACAGAGCTGAGCGAATTAAGGGAGAATTGCGAAACATGAATCCACACATATACACCCCCCCCCCCCCCACACACACACATGCCGCCCCTAAGAACAAACACACATGCCACCCCTCCACACATGAAATGCACTCCCCACCCTCCCAACCCTCCCCACCCACAAACCCATGCATACATCATTGAAATGACTTACCAATAGCGCTGGAAGACACTCCGGCTTTGACTGGAGGCATTCGGAGACCGGACGTAGAAGTCATCTCAATGCTGTCACCAACAATTACCTAACAGAAGACAAGAAGACAAGGAGACAAGAAGACAAGGAGACAAGAAGACAAGGAGACAAGAAGACAAGGAGACAAGAAGACAAGAAGACAAGAGGACAAGAAAACAAGGAGACAAGAAGACAAGAGGATAAGAAGACAAAAAAAGAAAAGAAAAAAAGAAGACAAGAGGACAAGAAAACAAGAGGACAAGAAAGACAAGCAGACAAGAAAGACAAGAACACAAGAAAGACAAGAGAACACGAGGACAAGAAGACAAGAAGACAAGAGGACAAGAAAACAAGGAGACAAGAAGACAAGAGGATAAGAAGACAAAAAAAAGAAAAGAAAAAAAGAAGACAAGAGGACAAGAAAACAAGAGGACAAGAAAGACAAGCAGGCAAGAAAGACAAGAACACAAGAAAGACAAGAGAACACGAGGACAAGAAGACAAGGAGACAAGAAGACAAGAAGACAAGGAGACAAGGAGACAAGAAGACAAGAAGACAAGGAGACAAGGAGACAAGAGGACAAGAGGACAAGAAGATGATTTTAAAATACATTATTGTAGGCGCAAGGACTGAGTGGCTGAGTGACTGAGTGGCTGAGTGGCTGAGTGGCTGAGTGGCTGAGTGACTGAGTGGCTGAGTGACTGAGTGGCTGAGTGGCTGAGTGGCTGAGTGACTGAGTGGCTGAGTGACTGAGTGGCTGAGTGACTGAGTGGCTGAGTGGCTGAGTGACTGAGTGACTGAGTGACTGAGTGGCTGAGTGACTGAGTGACTGAGTGGCTGAGTGGCTGAGTGACTGAGTGGCTGAGTGGCTGAGTGGCTGAGTGGCTGAGTGACTGAGTGGCTGAGTGGCTGAGTGGCTGAGTGACTGAGTGGCTGAGTGGCTGAGTGACTGAGTGGCTGAGTGACTGAGTGACTGAGTGGCTGAGTGGCTGAGTGACTGAGTGGCTGAGTGACTGAGTGGCTGAGTGACTGAGTGGCTGAGTGACTGAGTGGCTGAGTGACTGAGTGGCTGAGTGGCTGAGTGGCTGAGTGACTGAGTGGCTGAGTGACTGAGTGGCTGAGTGGCTGAGTGACTGAGTGGCTGAGTGACAGAGTGACTGAGTGACTGAGTGGCTGAGTGGCTGAGTGACTGAGTGGCTGAGTGGCTGAGTGGCTGAGTGACTGAGTGGCTGAGTGGCTGAGTGGCTGAGTGGCTGAGTGACTGAGTGGCTGAGTGACTGAGTGGCTGAGTGGCTGAGTGGCTGAGTGACTGAGTGACTGAGTGGCTGAGTGGCTGAGTGACTGAGTGACTGAGTGGCTGAGTGACTGAGTGACTGAGTGACTGAGTGCCAATGGAAGATCAGGCAGCATGCCGATATATATGTATGCGGTGACTCGACAGCACCGGTACGTGAAATTAGGGCCGAAACGATTGCCCATTTTGCCTTAACGATAAACCAATAACACTAACGATCGATTTATTGGTTTTACCGATTTTCCAAACAAGTTTTATAAGTGTCATGTTGGACATCAGTATACGGCAAAAACAATTAAATTTGTTCAACTATATACAGGTACGTATGGGTGAAAGATCCACACAGGCCCAAAAAAATGAAATTTGCAACGTGATATGAGCAATGTTCCTCTGCCATTAAACATCAACGATCAGTCGTCTGTCTTCTACAATGGAGAAGGGTCGACTGGAATCGACAATCCAGTCGATGATCGACTTCGTCAACATGCCTGAGCGCCTGCTGTTGCACGTTCGCAAGTAGTTACCTGCGCCGAAGAACAACGTGACGGGCTTCATTCCAGCACTGTTGAGCGCAGTGCTCAACATTGCTGGTAGTCGCCGTTGCTGTCGACTGGGTTGCTGGTCCTTTCCCTACTGCAGCGGCGTACTGGTCTTTATGAGCAGAAATCAGGTGCTGGAACAAGTTGGTTGTGCCGCTTTGACGGACGAACTCGCGGCTGCACGAATTGCATTTCGCTACGCTATCAGCTTCCTCGAAATATGCCCAAGCTGACGATCTCTTGGTCAGACTAACTTTCGCTTTTCCAGGCGGCAGCATTGTCACTGCTCTCCTCGCCAAATAATCAAAAGTAACTGTAAGATTTTGACAGAAAACTGAACAAATTAGAAGGCCGGCAGCCACACTCACAGTTTCGCTACAACCTAATACAGTCTACTTCGCTAATAACGACTGCGGATATAACGACAATTCGCTAATAACGACTGCGGATATAACGACAATTCGCTAATAACGACTGCGGATATAACGACAATTCGCGAATAACGACCGAATTTCCATGCCCGGAGCAAAGTCCCATCTAACTGTCTACATTTAACTTCGGATATAACGACTATTTGAATAACGACAATTCGCGAATAGCGACATGCTTTTAGTGCCCGAAGTCATATTCACTGCTTGAATAACGACTTTCTGGGCTTTTGACAGCTATTTCAAGTACATGTACAGGTACATGTACCTGTCATGCAGAAGTACCAGAACCTACTATAGCTATGGTGATGGATAAAGAAAAGAAAATGCAGCAAAGGGGGTGGGGGCTTTTTCTTCCTTTTTTATTTTGCTTCAAAAGTATTGGATTTACCAGCACACCTACAAGGCTACATGCATGTAGTTGTACATGATTGTACAGTAATCATCATACATGTACATGTCTCTGGCCCTGTAGATGGCTCAAAAAGGCATATTTTTCAATTTATTTCCCTTGCATATTGAATTTTTAGTTCCTTTCAACTGCAATATGAAAATAAAGTACACATTGACATAGAGCAAGAAAAGAGCTTGATTTTTATATGCATGTCATACTATACAAAATATGGGTTCACATACATTCAAATGGGACTTCGGTTATAAGGACACTTCGCGAATAAGGACACTTTTCTGATGCCCCGCCGAATGTCGTTATTCGCGAAGTTGACTGTAGTAATGAAGCTTTCCGGTTGTTACATTTTCCGGCTGCGCTGACTAGTGCAGTGAATGTAGTGACTATGTACGACTACGAGTACCCAGTGCGCAAAGATTGTACGGACCTACGGCTTCATGCATGTGTACTTCGACGTTCATGTACTTGTGCGCATGACGCGTGTGCATGATGCCATGCATGGTCTGCATGTACTGACGTCATGACCGCTCTCGCACTGCACAGTCATAATCGTTATCGATCATAACGATTATCGATTTCATCCATAACGAGTGATATACGAGTAATCGGTATAATCGTTTCGGCCCGATGTGAAATATAAGAACAGAACAATACAGGTCACGACGCTGATTCCCCGTTCTCCCCCCACCCCTGATGCCTCGTTCTTCGGCACCCGACACATTGAGCCTCCATAATCGCACCGCACCATTGACTGTAATCCCACGTCCCTCACCACTGACCAAGGTTTCATCAGTGACATCGGATACGGTACGGTCACTGCGGTATGACCGCACCACTTTTTGCCCCAGGTACCCCGTGAATCAATAAAATACACTTTCGACCTGGGCTTTAAATTTCCAAAAATGTCGGCTCAGCAACCCCCCCCCCCCCCCCGAGTAAATTGTACTTCAGATGGCTGACCATACCACACTAAAATACCTTCTGACACCCCCTGTTCATAGTTACACAGACAGGGCATACCTTAGCAAGAAAGATCTGTCGCTCGCCATTGAGATGTGGCGCTGTGTGACTGTAGCCATCAGAGTACTTGGCTTCAGAGGCAAAGTAGTTTGCCTGTCCCCACATACCACTGCTCGAGTAGCGCATGTCAAACCCAACCTCACTACGATAAATCTGCACGTGCACACACACATGCACGTGCACACACATACACACACACACACGTGCACAGACAAACGCGCACGCACGCGCACACACACGCACACACACACACGCACATGTGCACACACAAACCACACAAACGAGGGTAGGCAAACACACATACACACACACACACACACCAAACACAATATAAATCTGCTTGAAAGAGCGAGCTGGAGAGACAATCATTGGCATCATGATAAACTCTTTATTACCATCGCTACTATTTCAGCAGGCAGCTGTGTGTGTGTGTGTGTGTGTGTGTGTGTGTGTGTGTGTGTGTGTGTGTGTGTGTGTGTGTGTGTGCGTGCGTGTGCGTGTGTGCGAGAGCTGTGAATGTGGGTGAGTGCAGCACGCTCCATACCATGTTCCTGGTGCAGAAGTAAGACGAATACAGTGAATCTCCTTGTACCTGGTGGCCATTAGACTCCCTCCAACCACTTCCATTACTTTCCTTTGTCCATGGCATGCGTTAACCCGGGCCGCGAGTTGTCAAGTATGTGTGACGTCATCACTTCGAAGCCCTATGGAAATGGAAACACGGAACTGGTGCCCCTGACTTGTGGGTCACATTTCTTGGGCCATGGCTGTACGGTGTAGATACCAAGGGACTAGGAAGTAGTGCTGAGTCGGGTAGTATTTTCTTTGGGTATCGGGTTCGGGTAGTTTTCCATGGGTAGCACGGGTACCCGATCGGGTAATGTTTCCATGGTAACACCACCATGCACCCCTTCCCTTACACACTGGGTAGACATGCGGAGTACTACATGAATTTGTACACGTGCACTGTACATGATGTCTGTACCCGTCTAGCCGAGGTCCTCACGGGTAGCACGGGTACACGACTACCCGTGCACACCCCTACTAGGAAGTATTGGCTGCTGTGCAACCTCTGCCTACACAAGCACCTTGTGGAGATGAACTGTGCTCATGAATACTGAGCAAGTACTCTAATTTCAGAAATTTTCGGTGCTCAATATTTTCGGTATGAGGGCAAAAGGCCAGGTTAGGTGAACAGAAATTTTAGGTACAGAGAAGCAGTTCCCTATTGGATTATGTGTGTTAGTGTTTGTTCGGTGTATTGAAGTTTTAGGTCTGAAACAGACGCACCGAAAGTACCGAAAATAAAAGTACACCGAAAATTTGTGTAATTACAGTATTCTCGGTGTCACCGCGCTAAGCCTACCTTGTCGGGAGAATTTCCTCTCGTTCCGTGGAAGAGCAGTTTCTCGGCGGCATTCGTCTTGATCTTTTCACTAATGCTGTCCTTCATCTGGTTGTATTTCTTCCACAGGAACTTGTTCTGGATGCGGTCGATGCGCTGAATCTTGGCGTTAGGAAGCGAGAAGTGGACTAGCTTCTGTACTTGGTTGAATTCGGGCGAACCCAGCGCAACCTGTGAGGATTGGAGAATGCAAGAGCATGCATACACGTGGACACACATGTGCCAGCACGCATACACGTGGACACACATGTGCCAGCACGCATACACGTGGACACACATGTGCAAGCAAGCATACGAACAGGTAAACGAAAAACAAGAAGTCTTTTTTCAAGAAGAAGAAAGCACAGTAGGGAAGATCAGGACGTCATAACGTGCTGTGATGTGGTAAAAACTGCAGTACATGCAGCCATGCATCTCAAGACAAAGTTCCTATATCGGATACACCGTCTACGAAACACATGTGAATGCGCACGAACACACACACACACACGCACACACGCACACACACACACACACACACACACACACACACACACACACACACACACATGCACAAACACACACACAGGCTTTACCTGCTTCAACTCGAGTTCACCACTCATAGGTTCCCACTCTTTTGGCAGTGGGCATTCCACAGCAGCCGCAGAAGCGGCAGCAATGGCAGCAGCTGATGCACTAGTGGCCTGCTTCCTACTGGCAGCTTGAGCGGAAGCTTTGTACACCTTCGGCGAGAGAAGAACACCAGAAAAGTCAGGTCGTTGAATGTCTCAATACTATATCCGCCAGTTTTGTGCCTTGCTGTCACACTATCTGAGTGTATATTATCTGTCACTGAAATCCAGTCGCGTCACTCAAGTTTGCACCTTGCATCATTTCGCAGCCCAGTGTTTGCAGGTCTAGGGCTGCGCAACGCCGAGTGACGTGACTGGATTCCGTCCAGCAGTATTGTCCTTGCCAACTCCCTGCATTCATTTTCAACTCTTACCATACCCTGGTTGAAGGTATCACTACAGCTCGAGCAGCACACACACAGTATACCGTTGACTCCTGATATAACAAACACCATGTAGCAGGAGAAATAGTTCTTTATAGCTGAAGTTCATCATTCTGTAGTCAACAAACCTTCAGCGCATATTTATTTTCGGCTATTTTCGGCCTGGTCATGTTTGGCCGAAATTTTGTTTTGCAAGGTTCAGTGTGACAGTGTATACAGGCGGCAACAGTACAGACCGAAAATCTGATGCGGCCGAAATGGGTTTCAGCCCTGGGAGGCCGAAATGACTGACATGTGCCCCATGACAGTATGACTGCACTTGCTGTACATGCAGTCCTACAAGATTAGGTTCCCTATAAACGAAAACTGTTCGCTATAAACGAAAACTGTTCCCTGTAAACGAAAACTGTTGGCTATAAACGAAAACTGTTCCCTATAAACGAAAACTGTTCGCTATAAACGAAAACTGTTCCCTATAAACGAAAACTGTTCGCTATAAACGAAAACTGTTCCCTATCAACGAAAACTGTTCCCTATAAACGAAAACTGTTCGCTATAAACTTATAAAGGGTAATTTTGTATGTGTTCAAGCAGGGACATGGACAATGGCTCGTTATACCACAAAACTCGCTGCATAGAGCTCGTTATACAGTAAAATCTGTAACTAAAGACCACCGTGACTAGCGATCAGCCTGGTACTACAGACCACCGTGACTAGCGACCAGCCTGGTACTACAGACCACTTCGACCGGCACGGACGGTCTCACACCCATATATGGTTGTGCGGTGCAAACCTCTAACTAAGGACCACCTGCCCACTAAAGACAGCTTTGTCTGGCCCCAAGGGGGGGGGGGGGGCAGGGGTGGTCGTTAGTCACAGGTTTCACTGTAAGTGCAGTTCATACTGGCCAACCCTCCCGTTTTTCCCGGGAAAATCCCGGAAAATCAACACTCCTCCCGGGGTCCCGGGGATTTCAAGCACTCCCGGAAAAACCAAAGTTTTGTCTGATACAGGATTTTCCTGAAAACTCCATGGTTTCTCCCCGAATGTCCCGGTTTTTTGAACTTTTTTCAAAGGTATGTACGGTGCTCATTCGCAATTCGAACTGTGCACAGCACTTTGAAGACCTGACCGTGCAAGATCTGCACTGACAAAGTGACAGGCGGGCGCCGACTGATCAAACTGCACTACAGCCGAGTACAGGGTCGATCTGTGCTATGCACAGCTGCAGAGTCGAACGTTTTTTTGGCGGGAAAGCTCTTTTTCACTTATTTTTGTGCCATCCAGGGATTTTGAGAGAAATCCAGGGATTCCGCATGTCTTGTCAAGGGATTGAGATTGTGGTGGTTGGTCAGTATGGCAGTTGAGTGTACCTGAGTCTCGGCGCGCTCTACTCGCTTCTTGGTACCGCGTAGCACCACACACTGTCCCTTGCCAGAGCTAGCAGCAGCAGAGGAGGAGGAGGAGGACACTGAGGATGTGGCTGAGCGGACGCCGGTCACCTCCATGGAGACGAGATGCGACGCAGAGACGCTCTTGAACCTCCTGCTCAGCCAGTGCGTGTAGCCTGTGGTCATGGACACCTGGAGACAGCGACGGGAACAAACGTAATGGCAGTACGTGATAACATAGAAATAAATGTCACGGCTCGCGCGAGACTTGGCAGCCGAGTTTCCGCAACCGCAGGAACGCCCCCCACCCTCTATGGGTTAACGTGAAAGTAGAACAAGAAACATCATCAGTTAGTCAAATGCATCTCTGAGATACTGTCTTCTCAAGTTCTGATAATGCTCAAAAGAGGGTAGTGGACATTTTGAAAGTACTCTAGTATCACAGATATTGCAGTGGGGTATAGACCTGTCTGATGACTAGCTGTAGTCAGTACTGCAGTGGGATATAGCCCTGTCTGATGACCGGCTGCTGTACAACATCATTGGTGCGGACATACCAACACACTGCTGGTGACTGGCCAGCCGGGAGCATTGCAATGCTGCATGCAAAACGTCTAACGTGAGGCAAAGATATGCATGCCGTGTTGGCACCTCACCTTCTGTTCCACGATCGAGTCATTAAGCAGCTGCTGGATCTTGGCAGCGGCTAGTTGCACGGATGGGGACTTGCCCTCGATGCTGATCTGAACTTCCCTGGGGACCACACCAGTTTTCACAGGATCAAACGAAGTTGTGAGTGGAGTCGTTGCCGAGGAAGAAGTGCTGCTGGCTGCAGATGATGATGTCTTGCTGCCATGGATTCTCCTGACCGGGCGAGATTTTTCCGTCACCAAATTCGTCTGTTGCATCTTGACAAAGTCGACAGCGTAGGTGTACTGGCCACGGCTTAGGATAGCGTTCCCGCTTGGCGTTGCCAAATACTGCTGCTCCAATTCTGCATTGTGCTTGGATGAGTAGTTGCTAAATGCTCCTATGACGAGACAGAGAGAGAGAGAGAGAGGGGAGAGGGAGGGAGGGAGAGAGAGAGAGAGAGAGAGTAAGTGAGAGAGTGAGGGTGGGGATAGAGTTTGGAGTCGAGTACGAAACTGACTTCCCGTTATGCTCTTCCCCTCTTTCTTCACCTTCAGCTGCATTTTAAAACTGGTGTCTCAGTTGCTCAAGGAAAGACTAGGGAGAGAGGTGATTTCTTTTAGAGCTTTGCTTTACTGTTCCCTCAATGTCAACACAGAGAGAGGCATTTTAAACAACAAAATAATGCTACAGTAATTTTATGAGCGGGGTTTTAGCACTTGTACAGGGGTTGAGTGGGGGTTCAGCACTGGTAAAGGGAATTAGAGTGGGTTTTTAGTACTGGTAAAGGGAATTAGAGTAGGTTTTTAGCACTGGAAAAGGGAATTAGAGTGGGGTTTTAGCACTGGTAAAGGGAATTAGAGTGGGGTTTAGTACTGGTAAAAGGAATTAGAGTAGGGTTTTAGCACTGGTAAAGGGAATTAGAGTGGGGTTTTAGCACTGGTAAAGGGAATTAGAGTAGGTTTTTAGCACTGGTAAAGGGAATTAGAGTGGGGTTTAGCACTGGAAAAGTGAATTTTGAGCGGGGTTTTATCCCCGACACCGGGAATTTGAGTGGGGGTTCCGCACTGGTATCGGGAATCAGAGTGGGGTTTTAGCACTGGCAAAGGGAATTCAAGTGAGGGCTCATCACGTGTAGGGTGAATTTCAATAAGGTTCAGGCCAAATCCTGTAGGGTTCTAAGTGTTCTGAAAGTGGAAAGTGCAGCCCAGCCGCTTACCAGTATCGTCCTGGTACTGCCAGACAGCAGAGCCTCCAGTGACGGTGGCAGGACTAGCACGGGCACCAGCATCAGCAGCAGCAATGCCACCGGCAGTGAAAGCAGACACGCCGGTGGTAGCGGGACTAGCGGTCGCGGACGTAGTGCGACGGATGCGACGTGCGAAGCCAGTCTCCAAGTTGGTCTGGATCATGTTCACTGGGTCTATTCGATATCTGCGTGGCGTTGGTGCAGGCGTCACAAACGCCACACACAAGACAGGCGGAAAGACGGACAGACAGAGAGACAAGAGTTAACATTGACCAGCTGGCACTCAATTCCGTTCAAAAAGCAATGCAAAGAGGGAAGTGACACAGAGAGACAGAAATGGTCATGGATGGGCCAAAGTTTCAACTGGCCTTCCCCGGAAAGAAGACAGACCGGTATACAGACAGACAGGCAGACAGACAGACAGATGGGCAGTCAGGCAGATAGGCATACAGGCAAACAGACAGGCATACAGGCAAACAGACAGGCGTAAAGACATGAAAGAGATAGACAAATAGACAAATACGAAGAGAGAGACACAGGCTTTAAATATATGCCTCAGTAGAAAATATGCCAACCTCTGCCACTACCACAAACACACCATGAACCGATTCACACAGCAAGAGAAGTAGCTGCATTGCCACCATCACCATCACCACCAGCAGCACCACCACCATCACCACCAGCAGCAGCACCAGCACCACCACCACCATCACCACCATCACCACCATCACCAGCACCACCACCACACACTACCATCACCACCATCACCACCATCACCAGCACCACCACACACCACCATCACTGCCATCACCACCAGCAGCACCACCAGCAGCACCATCACCACACACCACCAGCAGAACAATCACCATCACCACACACCACCACGATCACCAGCAGCACCACCAGCAGCACCACCACCAGCACCACCACCAGCACCACCACCATCACCACCACCACCACCACCAGCAGCACCACCACCAGCACCATTACCATTACCACCACCATCACCACCATCACCATCACCACCATCACCACCACCACCACCACCAGCACCACCACCAGCAGCACCACCACCACCAGCACCATCACCACCACCATCACCATCACCACCAGCATCACCACCACCACCAGCATCACCAGCATCACCATCACCACCGCCATCACCACTAGCACCACCACCAGCAGCACCACCACCACCAGCACCAGCACCACCACCACCATCACCACCTTCACCATCACCACCAGCATCACCACCACCACCACCAGCATCACCACCACCACCACCAGCACCATCACCACCAGCATCACCACCAGCACCACCAGTAGTGACTACACCCAATTTTCAAAACTTGCTCCGATCGCTTCGATTTTGGTCTCATTCGATTCTCCCAGGCGTAGTACATAGGAAATCTGCAAGTATTATTCAAATCGGCCCAGCCATTCTGGAGTTATAGTGATTTGAAGTGCGCCAAGTTGGACTTTTGCTGGAAACAGAAACGAATGGGAGTGATGGGAGAATCGACAACGACCGCAACAATCAGTGCATGCAGTGTACAGTGCACACGCATCGTCACTCGAACTGCGTGTACGATATTGCATACTTTGGTATGCCGGCGCAGAACAAATTCGCTCGTAGAGGAAGACGAAAGCTTGTCACCGCCTTGTAATTTCACATGGCCAGTAGATTTTCGACGCTGAAGACGATGGAATAGTGCGCGACGCTGCGACCTGACCAGAAAAACCCGAAATTCATACCCTGAAAAAGCGCTGAGCGCAGAGCTCCTAAATTTTGTCGTATGGAAACGGGACTTCGGGTCTCAAGGGCACGAACATCTCCTCTCTCAGATAAAGCAATACATTCGATGCGATATTCTACAATTTGACCTGGCCAAGGCGACAAGCACTGCGATGTCGGATTCTCCCATCGGAAGTATAGAAACTTGTTTCCAAAAAATCAGCGTCCGGGTGCGAGGGAGTAAAGTCACTACCACCAGCACCAGCACCACCATCACCACCATCACCACCAGCATCCCCACCAGCATCCCCACCATCACCACCAGCATCCCCACCATCACCACCAGCATCCCCACCAGCATCACCACCATCACCATCACCACCATCACCATCAGCACCATCACCACCAGCACCACCAGCACCATCAGCACCATCACCACCAGCACCATCACGACCAGCAGAAGCAGCAGCAACACCACAAGCACCACCACTAGCATTGGCAACGGATAAAAACCAGTACAAACGGCACCAGAACACATAATCATCAGCAGCTATGCTAACAGAACACAGAATCATCAGCAGCTATGCTGACAGAACACAGAATCATCAGCAGCTATGCTGACAGAGCACAGAATCATCAGCAGCTATGCTGACAGCACACAGAATCATCAGCAGTGGCTATGCCAACAGCACATAATTATAGTCCTCAGCAGTGGCTATGCTAACAGCACATATAGTCCTCAGCAGTGGCTATGCTAACAGCACACATAGTCCTCAGCAGTGGCTATGCTAACAGCACACATAGTCCTCAGCAGTGGCTATGCTAACAGCACACACACTACTAACCTTGTAGTGCCAATACAAATATCACACTTGGTTCCGCGGGCACTGGCCAGATCAATGGACTTGCATTGGTCGGCAGGGTACGCCTTCCAGCCATCATTATCCTGCCACTGCCAAGACGACAACGATGACGATGGAGTTGTGCTTGTTGGTGTGGCGGTGGCAGCAGCAGCGGGGGTAAACGAAGCACCGTCATTGCTGGAAGTGGACGACTGGCGTGTAAACAGAGAGCCGAGTGTGGAGAAGAGACCGCGACTGCGTACTGACGTCATCGTGTTTATGGCGCCCGTTACGGTTGTCGCATCGAGCGGTATAGATTGTGACCTGGCAAGGGCAGCAGTAGCCTTAGCAGCAATATCGCCTACTGGAATACCGGCCGGGAAAGAACCAATACTAACACTTGCCGATTGAGCTGCACCAGAACTCTGGTCAGTTGCCGTGTGCCCTCCATCGTAAGCGTCATCATCGGCGTCATCGTCGGCATCGCTGTCGTCATTGACATGAGAAGCCGCAGAGCGTGCGAGCCGCGAGAGACTAGTCCACGTACACGAGACCTTGAACTGCCGTTCGACAGCACGGATGTCGCCAACGTGATCCAGAAGCGCTGTCACTTGTAGCCCTTGAGCACAAACCTGCATGCAACCAGGGTGAGAGAGAGAGAGAGAGAGAGAGAGAGAGAGAGAGAGAGAGAGAGAGAGAGAAAGAAGAGAGAGAGAGAGAGAGAGAGAGAGAGAGAGAGAGAGAGAGAGAGAGAGAGAGAGAGAGAGAGAGAGAGGGAGAGGGAGAGGGAGAGAGAGGGGGGAGAGAGCTTAATATGCCTTTTTAAAAGTATTGACATGATCAATCCATACATGAAAGCTCAGAGTAACAAGAGAACGGTGACTTGATCCAGCTTTCTATGACCGTACTTCAGTTATGCAGAACATACAACATGTGCATTACATCACCCTGAATTAGTTGTACGGTTTGGCTAGTCAATGTTTGGGTGTCTTGTGATGTGCCTGCGCACAACACATTTCAAGCATTGGCACAATCGGATTCCTTGAATAGATCTTCCGCGCAGAATTAAGTCAGTCGACGCAATCGAGTTCGAGATCGCACACGCAATTGCATGCTAACAAGATACAGCCCGGTGCCACAAACCCACATGCTTGTGCCCCCCCCACCCCCACCCCACATACACACATGCTTGTGCGCGCACCGCCGCCCCCCCCCCCCCCCAAACACACACACGCAGCCACACGCACATCGTTTTTTCCTCACTTACCTGAAGAGTTTCTACTGACTGAGCCACCTGGTCGACAAACTGCTGCAGCTCCTGGCGCACATCCAGCACAGCATCCTGCAAACCGCTCAGTGACAAGTGCATGCGGCGGGACCTAGGAGTACCTTCACCGTCATCATTGCTATCACTGTACCCGGCCGTGCCGTAGACTTTCTGAACCCGAACGCCGCGCTTCGAAGCAATGTCGATAACTCTGCGCATCTCGCTCGATGTGACGATCTGAGCCACAACGTCGGACGGGAACGCAAACTCCTCGTGCTGGGTTTCATGGCCACCGATGAATGCCTGCAGGAAAAAGAAAACACGTTCACGAAAGCAGAAATTTCTATGAAATTCCGTGTTTCTCCAATTCTAAGTGGCACGCTAAGTGGCTACACAGTATGGGATACGTATGTCACAAACACATGCATGCGTTTACACACCGTAACACGCGTGCTAAGCGCACACACACCCACACACACACACGTGCTAAGCGCACACACACCCACACACACACGCGCATGCACCCACCCACACTCCCTCCCTCCCTCCCTCCCTCCCCCCCCCCCCCCTCTCCTCCCTCCCCCTCTCCCTCTCTCCCTCTCTCCCTCCCTCCCTCTCTCCCTTCCTCCCTCTCTCCCTCCCTCTCTCCCTCTCTCCTCTCTCTCCCCTCTTTCTCTCCCTCCCCCCCCCCTCCCTCCCCCTCCCTCTCCCTCTCCCTCTCCCTCTCCCCTCTCCCTCTCCCTCTCCCTCTCCCTCTCCCTCTCCCTCTCCCTCTCCCTCTCCCTCTCCCCTCTCCCTCTCCCTCTCCCTCTCCCTCCCTCCCTCCCTCCCTCCCTCCCTCCCTCTCCTCTCTCTCTCTCTCTCTCTCTCTCTCTCTCTCTCTCTCTCTCTCTCTCTCTCTCTCTCTCTCTCTCTCTCTCTCTCTCTCTCTCCCTCCCTACCACTGTACAGTCAAGAACCCACCTGAATGGTGTCCCGCATACTCTCAGCTTCCTCGCGTGTCATGGCGTTGATGTGAGCAAGAGTTTTGTCGACAAACACATTACTCCTGTGT